AAAAATGCCATTCATGTTTTACGGTCACACCAGGTTCATGCAGCTTAAAATGTAGGTATGGTAGACACGGATGGACAGATATTTTTGGGGTCCAGAATTCTGGGATTTGTCCACCTTTTGGACAAATGGCACTCTCCTATCTCCTGCATAAATCTCTCTCTTTAGTTATGTTTATAGAAAAGCCTCATGTCTGTTAAAGACAGGGACCTTCAGTTTTTGTTACCATCTTCAAAAGTTTATTGTTGTTCAGATAAAGTTCATAAATCTTGAAGCAGCTTCTTTTCTCAGCCTTGTGCTTCCCTCTTATTTAGGCCCACTGTTCTACTGTGCTTGCAGACAGATAGCTCAAGTTTCCCAGAGTGATATGAATGTTTTCAGCCAGCTAACCAATGGCTGATTAAGATACAGTTAATCTCAGAAGTACACACTAATCCAACTCTCATAAATACCTTTATTTTTCTAAGCTGTGTCTAGAGTTGTGGAAGCTATGATTAAATGACCTTAAGGAAAACATAGCAAATAAATAGTACACACAAAAAAATTCACAGTATGCAAATAAACAATGTATCCTGAAGTGATTAAAAGCATGTGCATGTGTGCACATATTTAGTAGGATTGACCAGATATTAAAGATATTAAATCAACATGTACATTTGTTTCACTGCTTTACTGAACAGCAAAGAAAACTAATTTATGTTCAATTATTAAAGTAATTATTAATATATTTCTTGGCTTTTATTTAGCATCTCAGATATTAGTATGAGAGGCCTGAATAGTTTTCCATTTCATCTGCCTGCTTGCACATAGTTTTGATTTAAAGAAATTAGCTAAATCTTTCTCAACTACATTATTTTGCGCTATGTAGAAACTGCCCAACAGATAGACATGCGGTAGTGCAGAATAATCTTGCTGTTCTTTGGACAGTAGTGAAAGATTTATATAATCACCATACCAAACAACATGCACTTACTTTCTTTAGTAGTTGAGGCACCTTATTTTAAGGTACTAATAATCCTAATAAGCAAACAGCTTTTTAAATCAGCATAGAAAATTAACATAAAGACTATATATGGGCCTTTTAAGAAACAGTAGATCCAAGTTCTGAAAAGTAGAAAAATATGTGGGCAGATAGGAAAGGCAGCTTACATTTGTTAGAAAGCACTGCATCCACTGTCAGAGCACTGAAGTACTTTTTAAATGAAACAGTACCATACAGTACTTCTAGACTAAGCACCACAGACATTTTGCTAGTAACTAAATAACATGAAATTAAATACAATCAAAAGAAGTCCTCTGCTCAACTTTTAAGCTCTAACAGAAGTTACATTCAAATGAAAAATACATTTTGTTTGATTTGTCAACTATCAGCAGCACAGAAAATTTAGAACTACCGAGCCCATTTAAGTCAGATCCATCAGCACTCTGGCTCAAGAGGACATCACTTCAAGTGATGAAAACAAATAGGCTTGTTTCATCTATTTCTATTACAGGAGCTTGAAGGACACTTGAGGGAGATAAAGGTGCCAATCTGAATACAAACACACCATACAGCTATATAAATAAGATGCATATATGCACAACAGTCCTCCTGTTAGTGTGAATGATGCAGGTGTAAAGGCAGCATACAAGTCTCTTCTACAGTTTAGGAGTGCAATCCTCAGTGGTTCAAGTGCCCCCCTCTGTCAGAGTTTTATCAGAGCTGCTTTGGGGCACATTTCAGCCAAAAAAAATGAAGAAATTAGCCTGAAAACAGTTTGTACAGTAGATTTTCCCTAGGTCAACTTCTTTTGACCAGATCAGGTTAGGGTATGGTCACATAGGCATTCAACCAGCAGGCCACAGGATGGAGGGCAGTCCTTTCTTCAGCCTGCACAGCCAGAACCGGAATTTTCCTATATTTGGTAAAAGAAATCAACATTTTTCATAGTCAGGAGCCGAACTTGGGGGGAAGGTAGAAACACAAATTGAGAACATACTTAAGAAAAAGCTTCCTGAATGCCTTTTCAAATAATAAGCTTTTAATGTAGGATTCAGGCTCAACCCAACAATGCTTATAACTGGGACACAAGATGCCCTTTAGCAAGCTATATGACAATGGTCATGTTCACTTCCTATCATCTTAAGCAAAATATGGTCTGTTTATTTGGTACCCATAGTAGGCAGCAGTTACTATAGTAAATCATTTTCCTGCACAGATTTAGAGAAAGTTTTCTTCTGTAAAAGCAGGAGGCTCTTAAGTCTGGGGACACTTGACTGTAAAAACATCTGGACAATAAGCAGCAGGGAAAGCCTCCCTCCCATCCTCCTTTACTAACATACTGTACCAGAGCCAG